CCTGTCCTTGTCTGGCTCCCGCCTCACTCGGTTCCGTAGGGTTTTGCCATACTTCGGTTACGTTGTTGTTTTTTCTTTAAAGTGCAACGGCTCGTTCGATAGAGTTTGGGGTTTAAGGGTTTACGGTTCAGGGGTTTAGGGTTTCAAGGTTTAGGGGTTTTGTCATGCTTCGGGTTACGGTTTAGGGTTTGGGGTTTAAGTTGGGTTCAGGGGTTTAGGGTTTTAAGGTTCAGGGGTTTTGTCATGCTTCGGGATTTAATGCAGCAGCCTTAGATCAGCTTTTGTGTTCTCGGGCTTTGGGGACAGCTAGTTCCTCCCGAGCTTTTGGGCGACCTTGCAAAACAGAAAATGGGAGTTTCCAAAAAAAAGGACCCAAACAGAGAACCTTAGTGAATAGTAGGATCCTGATTATAAGGACCCCAAAACAAGGTACCCCTAATTATCGGACACTCCCACATTTTGGTACAAGACGAAAACTTCAAGAACACGGTGCAGCTCATTCCGCGGACGGAGGGCTCATGCACAGCTTAACGGGTCCATATTATGTGCTTTATTGATCAGGGGTCTGCAGCCTGTGGGCATTTGGGGGACGTGGTTCCTGTTACGAAGTAATGTTGATGATCTGGGGTGGCGGGTATGTCATATTTTACTGTAGTTAGAATAAGGAACCCCAGAACCCCCCAAGCCTTATTTTAATTATCAAGGCCCGTACATTAGACACCAGTGAGCCGGGTGGCCAAATATCTGCGCCGCGAAGTCCGGAGCGCCAGCTCAGGCGCCGGCGCATCGGCCTTGCGTCTGTCTGCGGCCATTTAGGGCTTAGGTTAGTATATACTGCTGGGACCCAAATACGTACTAAGTACCTACTACTATGGTACCTGGACCCAATTGGGTTTGGGTCAGTATCCTACGAAATAGCGATCTGGGCTTCGAAGGCAAAATTTGATATCCAACCTCCACAAACACAAACCCATTGTGGCTAGGCTTTGAGGTTCAAGAGCAAGCTGCGACGTAAGAAGTGCAAGCACTGTCATCACTGTCATCTTCTTGTGGTCACTTTGGATAAGATTAGATCGCTTGAGTGTCTCTTCGTGATGCTTCGGAGATATGCCCTCTGGGTCTACGTACATCGGACATACTTAGGTCTTCAAGGGTCCCTGGTACTTTCCTGAACCCTAAACCGTCAGGGAAAAGACCGTTGCTATTCCCTTCGCCTCTTCGGCGGCGTAGTCGGCGGTGTAGGTTCCAATTTGGGCGCACTTCCATCTGGGTTGACCTGAGCTCAGTCTGCCTCTTTGGGGCCTGTCGTAGATTGGCCTAGAGCTTCAACGATTCGGTCTGGTTTTGAGATCGAGCTTAAGCCTCAAAGACAATGTCCAATATCCTAGCCATCAAGGTCAAAGGGCTAAAGGTGACCTACTCTACTAATAGGCCACACTCTGGTCGGCATCGCGGCTGATCGGGAACCCACGCCCGAAGTCCGTGACTGCTGTGAGAAGCCGGGTCTTGTGGCAAACAAAGGCACGGCCATGCACGGCCCGTACATCAACGTCCTATCATCACGAAACCCTAAACCCTAAACCCCTAAACCCTGAACCCTATCATGTCGATCAAAGCCAAGCTGCCATGGCCTCTGTTTCTGCTGCCACTCTACACTTGGATGAGCCCTCCGACCGCACTGTGTGGCGGTGTTTTGCACTACTACGGCTGCAGAGCAGTGGCACATTACCGAAGGCAGCAAGTCCCAATCGCTCCCTTAGGAATGCTGGCACAGGCGGGTGTGTGAATTGAAAATCACAGAGAAAAAGACGGCAACAAATCAATGAGGCCGCCACCTGACCAGGCGTCGACACCTCTCTCTCTCTCCCTCTCTCTCTGTCTCTCTCTGTCTTTCTTTCTCGCTCCAATATATATATATATATATATGTATATGTATATACGTTCCTCTTCTTGGTAGTATTGCTATTGTCTAGTTTTACTATTATTACTGCTATTGTGGATGCTACTTTTATTGGTACTATTACCATCGTTATTATGATTGTTAACTGCCAGTATTGTTAGTCTCACTCGGCCAACCCTGCCGCATCGTTGCAGGTTCATGCACGCCAATGTATGCTTCAGCAGTTTTGTTTCTGAACAAGCCGGGCTTGCAGAAACTCTGCTGTACGTTTTAGGGTTTAGGGCCCTGCACCCAAAACACATCATGAACGAACTGCAGCTTTGAAACGATGGTGAGCACCCCGTGGCTTCTTGCATGGCCCAGATCCTGAACCCGAACCCCACCTGCAAGCCACAAATGTAGGAATTCTTGGGTTCCTCCGCATGATTGCATCATATCCCGTTACAACGAAGTGGGGCTCGGGGGTTACAAGTGGAAGGCCTGCAGCCAGAGACACCCGCTACCAGTAACCCCAAACCTTAGACCCCTAGCCCCTGAATCTTAACCCGAAGTCCTGAGACCCGAAATAATCGGGCAGCCTCAAAATCATAAAACCCTGTGCCCAAGCCGCCTGACAGTTTCTATAATCGGGTCACTTTGCATTCCTATAGGGATCTAGAATGGTTTAATTAATAGGGTTCCCTCAAGGGCTCTTCAAGGTTTTCCAAGCGCGACGAACGATTTCGCGGAGGTGCCTGGCAGAGACAGAGTCGACCCCAGCGACCCAGGGCGACACCCTCGCAGTCCACACCTGTCAGCGCTTACAACTGAAGGCTTTCAGGACTCTTTCAGGTATAAGGTCCTGAAACCCTAATTAAAACCTACATGCCACGACCCATAAGTAGGTCTTCGGACTTTCGGTGCCAGAGTCAGTGTATTAGAGTGGCCTTGACATGCAGTGCAGTACAAGCAGCTGTTTGGCTATAGGGTTTAGGGTTTAGGAGCTATAACTCTTCAATGTGTGCAACTGGACAGCCGTCGCAGATGTGTCCCCGGATATATATATATATATATGTATATATGTATATATGTATATATGTATATGTATACATATAGGTATAGGTATATGTATATGTATATACATGCATATATATATATATATATGTACATATATATATATATATATATATATACATATATATATATACATATATATATATACATATATATATATATATATATATATATATATATATATATATATATATATATATATATATATATATATACACATACACTGTATATCCACATATATGTATGCGTGTGTGTGCAAGCTTCAGGTTTTGGTGTTTGGAGAGCTGCTGGTCCCTCTGCTGTCTTGGGACAACAGCTCGACAGCACAGACTGAGGCAGCGGCCCACCACGCGCTGAGAGAGAAGCTCAGGCAAAACGGCCTGACGACGGTTTGGGGTGTAGGATTTAGGCTTTAGGATTTAGGATTTAAGTATTAGTTAGGGTTTATAGGGTTTAGGGTTTAAAACTTAGGATTTAGGGTTTAGGCGAGGACACTGTGCACAAGGTTTGAGGGCTTTCAGGTGTGGAGACGAATGAACCAGAGATAGAAGAGAATGCCGACCTCAAAAGGACTGGTGCAACTGTCAGAACACTCAACAGAACTTGGGCAATGGAACTGGGCCAGTAGCCTGTAGCTATGGTTGAAGTACAAATGGCTGCAGACTCACATCGCCAGTTGTAGCATCGACATTCACTTACAGCCTTCCGTCTGAGCGATCGATGAAGACAAGCATTTCACTAAAGTAGGCCTGCGAGGTTTTCCCTATACTGTTGAAAGTCTGAAAGCTCTGTGTCGTGCCCTGGCCTACAAAGAGCAGAACAGTAGAGTCTCTCGCCACAACTCAAGGAAGCAGCAGAATGCAGAATAAGTCGGGTGCCTCGGCCTCCTCTCGGGTTTGGACCAGCTGCGCCTGTCGCAACTTGAACTATTGGGAACTCATAGAACCCAACACTGCTCCACTAACAGGAATAGTGCTTCAGCCATAAACCGACTGCAGAAGCCTTTGTAGGCAGAATCGTGTGTGCGGGGTATATCCCAGCATGCCTGGACATGGACTTCAAGCAGGACATCTGTTTCAAGCCTTACCTGTAGTCTCCGTTGTAGTTCCTTTTGGTTACCTTATAGGATCCTGATTATATATTTGGTTAAACCAAAAAAGGAACTACAATGGATACTATAGGTATCTCATTTATCAGACGTCTCTTTGAACTTCCGCCATGTAGAATTGACAGGAATTTCCGTACCCTTAACTCAGAGATGCTCTCCTGACGGGCTGCCGTGGAGCAGTGGCGGTGGCTGAGGCTTTGGGGTTTTGGATTGCAGCTTAGGGTTTTAGGGTTTAGGGTTTAGGGTTTAGGGTTTAGGGTTTAGGGTTTAAGCTTGAGATAAGGCTCGTGGGCTTCGGCCTGAGAGTACTCAGTGCTGTCTAAGTTCAGGGCTTCCACGTCCTTACTATGAGCACCCCAAGCCCGAAGTACCGATGCCTACGCCCGAGCACTTAGATCCCAAGTCCTTTTTCCCCAGAAGCGCTTCTGGATCTGTCTGATCTGTCCGGACAGTGTTGTTCAGGTTCAGGCTGGCTTCGGCAGCAAGCACTTTGGGATAACAGCGGAATGGGTATTGATAAACCCACACATGATGAAGCAGAATGCTGAGTATTGACACAGCGAATGGTGTTGTTGCTTGCTTCTTGTTCGTAACTGGGGCGGAGGCAGCTGCCCTTGGCTTGATTATTATGGAGTTCTAAACGATGCGCAATACTACTGCTTAGTGTTCCGCAATACAATAGAACCCAGAACCCTGCTCTAACTACCGAGGCTCTTCAACTATAGGATCCTTATAGTGTCCCGTTTAGAACCAGTGAAGGGAGCCTCTAAAGAGAGCCTATGCTACTGATTAAGGCCACTACATTAGTGCCGGCTCAGTTCCTCTTGTCCCCAGAGAGCCCACTACCCCTTAATTAAGGAATATGCCTTAGATTATTGGGGCCCTCATATTGTGATTTAAGGTCTATTCCTTAATTAATTGGTGTTGGGCTCTTTGGGTCTACTCGTCCCGGAAGCTTTGTTCCCAGTCCACAGCCTCAGCTCGCAGGCTGCAGTTCAGGGTTTAGGGTTTAGGGGTGTAGGCTTTAAGGTTGAAGGTTTAGGCGGGTTTACGGGGGGAAGGGGGGGCTGGTAGGGAAGATTCGGTTGTGTTTTGAGGGATCTGGGTTTGGGGAGTATGTGATGAGACTGCCTTTCTTCCATCATCACTGCGTTGCATTCCTGCGCCTGTTCTTTGGAGCATTGTCATACTTCCTAACGTTCACCACACCCTGAGTCACATGTTGTCATCTGGCACCTGTGCTAAACTCAATCCTGTCAAGACTGTCGCTGCTGCTGCCTCTGCTACTATGGTGACAGCAAGTCTAGTTCATTGTTGGGATAGGATTAAAAATGTACATTTTTATTCCTTATTGGATTTAAGTACCCATAAAGAAACCCTAAACCCTAAACCCAACTATGACAAAGAAGTAGGAGCCTGCTGGGGTTCGAGTTTGTTCATAGCACTACGCCGTTCGGTAGTGCCTATTGGGACGGTTTAGGGTTTAGGGTTTAGTGTTGGGTTTGATGTTGTGTTCTGGTTCAGTGTAAGATCAGTGCGATGATGACCACAGTGTACTCTGAACATTCTCTCTCTGACGGCCGAGATCTCTGTTTCTGCCGATTGCATTACCACTGCTACAATTGCAACCGCTACGGCTATCTGTACCAGCCACGGCTATTTCCATCTACAGTCCTTGTGCACTCGTTGCTCCGGCCACTACTTCGACGGCTGCTGCTGCTCCTCCGCCTTCTACTAACAGTCTTCCTCCTATGTTACTTGAGCGACGACAACTGCACTCCCCAACCCTTGGGCCCCAAAGGAAAGAGCCTCCGAGCGCTGCTGTAAACTCAAATCCGAACGAGCTTGACAACTTGATCCTACAGCTTTCAATATTAACCATGAAGCCCACACAAACCCTGAACCGTAATCCAACCTACAGCGCCATACTGCCCACCCACTCACCAGCCATCCCACGTCCGATTCCCTGCTGACCAAACGGAATCCAAGCAAAATGCTAAGCTGCTAAACCCAGAACCCAAAACATCAAAACCCTCAATCCTAAATGCTAAGCCCTTCTCCCGGGTCTCCTGGCGAAGTAGCCGTCTTTGGGCTTCCTTCCAGAAGGCTTCATGGTTCATGGGCTTATAGTTCTTGCATAGATGTGCTGGATGCCACGGGTTTTGCAGCCTCTTGACAATTACAAAGGGTTTGTATGGTAATGTTGTAGAGATTTTAGGGAGATTCAGCATACATACTACCATGGTGGCCTCAACGTAAATTTAGCTAATCACAAGAACTGAATGTGTAGGGACTATACGTGGCTGCTATATTCGCTGGAGGTTCAAGCCTCCGCAGCTCTCATGCTATGGAAGATGGATTTAGTATGAGGCTAAAGTTTCACAATCAGGTTTATGGTACAAAACTTCAGGCTTTGAAACAGTGTATATTGACGATTCGAACCTATAGGGCTCAGAAGCCTACCCTACGCGCCAAACCCCGCACCCTTGCCAACCTGAATTCCTAAAGCCCGCGCCACGTCTCAAACGTACTATCGTGGAAGATTTAAGCCGTACGCCTAAGCAGACTTGATTCAGCACGAAGGCAAGCCATGTCCAGCCTCATATCTAGAAGCTGTACCTCGCTCACTGCGTACCTGCGAAGCGCCAGTCAACGGTGGTGATTACTATATAGAGGCCTTATAGGGTTTTGGGGCCCATACTACTATCACCATAATCAGGAACCCCCAAGCTAGCATTGGTACTTATTTAGGTCCCTATAGTACTCGTGAGGCGTGAACTCCGACAAGCAAGTACTACTTGCCATGCGACTCGCGCAGGACTACACGAGCCATTTCATCGGGCTCTTGGCCTATCTCGACTATCCAACCTAGCCACGATTTCACTTTGAATGCTTTCGAAATCGCAACCCAAAACCTTGAACTACAAAACCATCAGTCCAACGGCAGTGCAACCTAAGCGATGATGCTCCAAGTCGCAAGAACGCCCTGCCTGCCGAAGTTCAAGTCCAACGCCGAGGACCAGGCCTATTCCAAAAGCTCCTAGATTAGGGGTCAATATGGGATTTCTGAAAATATGGGACCCCAATATGATACCCAAAAAACAGGATCATTGTTATTATGGGAAGCTACCATGTAGGAACAGGAAGGAATTCAATAAGGCTTTCGGGCTGATCATTCAGACCATTATGCTAGGGCTGTAGAGGTTCTGTAAGGCTCTACGAGAAATCTACAAGATTGTAAAGGGCTTTACGATCTGTTCCATGAGGATAAGTCTGAAGTGTTCTTTCAGGGTTCTGGGATATCCGTACACAGGGCGGGAGGGGGTTTGGGACGGTTTGGGGGTTGTGTTTTGCGCTGGGGTCTGTCAACTGGAGCCTAGATAGCCTGATGTAAGAACCTGATTAAGAAACCTTGGGCCCTTATTCGGGTTCCTTGTATGAATCCTACTATTTTGGGGGTTTAGGCCAGGGTTTCTTAATCAGGTTCCTACATTATCCCAACTCAAGACCTCCTGGCTCTGCGCAGCAGCTTGGGAAAGTCCACATGTCACGAACAGATTCCCCGCCTGCTGAGGGATTTTCAGAAGCTTCCTGGCGGATCCACAGCTCACAAATAACGGAAATGGCAGTAAACAACGCAAATAATACCAGCACATGGAATAGTTGTAGCAACCGGGTGTCGCTGTTCTTGCTGCAGTTGCATTGTTACGGTGCCGTCCTTGTACTGTCAACTGCAAGATGTGGCTGTTCATACCGAATACCGAGGCACAAACCCAAACTCTGATTTTCTCTGCGGTTGCAAACTGAAGCGGCCCTAACCACCACCAAGCCCTACCTGCGCCCTGAATAACCTACCTTGCTATGGATTTTTGAACGGGCAAGCCCTAAAACAAAGGCTCTTTGGTTTCCAGGTAAGCCCTCAACCCTTAAGGCCCTGAAGCCCCAAACTCTTAAACACCCAAAGACAAGCACATACCTGCAAGCTCTCGTTCTATGAGGCGGCGTGGTCTCTCAACACCAGCGACAAGGCCCAACTCCCAAAGGCTGCAAGTACCAGCATGGTATGGGTGTGTATTGGTACTTCAAACCCTGCAACTGTAAAAACTACCTATATTTAGTAAGTCCTACTATATTGGCATTTGGAACCCTAAACCCTAAACCCCGAAACCCTAGACCCCAAAAAACTTAAAACCCTAAGTACTTGGAACCCTCAAGGACTGGGCCGCCGGCCTGTGCCACTCTTTGCCTCAGAGCCGAAGTGTGAGGGCTGAAAAGCTCGACCCTTCATGACCCAGCCGTAGGTTGCTGGTCAGCAGGGTTTATGTTCATACATAAAAATACATACAAATACAAGTATGTAAGTATGTATGCATGTATATATATATATATATATGTATGCTCGCCCCCCCCCAAGATCCACGCCATCGTGGTTCTTAGGGCATGAGGCGCACGAAACACTGCTATGCTCAAAAAATTCCAAACTTTCCAACCCCAGAACTCACGAAACACTGCAATGCTCAAAAAATTCCAAAAATTCCAAAATTCTGGCATCTATGGCCAGGACGGGGGCAAATTCCTTAAAAGTTTGGATTTTTTTGAGCATAGCAGTGTTTCGTGAGCTTGGCGGCTGTAAAAAGTGTATTTTTTGTTGAGCATTACACTGTTTTGTGAGTTTCAAACCACGAAACACTGCTATGCTCAAAAAATTCCAAAATTTCCAACCCTGAAACTCACAAAACACTGTAATGCTCAAAAATGCCAACAATTCCAAAATTCTGGCATCTATGGCCAGGCCGGGGGCAGATTCCTTAAAGTTTGGATTTTTTTGAGCATAGCAGTGTTTCGTGCGTTTCAAGGCTTGGAAAAATGGATTTTTTTGAGCATTACAGTGTTTTGTGAATTTTAAACCACGAAACACTGCTATGCTCAAAAAAAGTGAGCCTTGAGGCTGTGAAAAATTGATTTTTTTTGAGCATTACAGTGTTTTGTGAGTTTCAAGCCACGAAACACTGTAATGCTCAAAAAAAATCAACTTTTTCAAGCCTTGAAACGCACGAAACACTGCTATGCTCAAAAAATTCCAAACTTTTAAGGAATCTGTCACCGGCCTGGCCATAGATGCCAGGATTTTGGAATTTTTGGAATTTGTTGAGCATTACAGTGTTTCGTGAGTTTCAGGGTTGGAAATTTTGGAATTATTTGAGCATAGCAGTGTTTCGTGGTTTAAAACTTACAAACCACTGTAATGCTCAAAAAAATACATTTTTCACAGCCTCAAGGCTCACTTTTTTTGAGCATAGCAGTGTTTCGTGGTCCAAAACTCACAAAACACTGTAATGCTCAAAAAAAACCAACTTTTCACAGCCTCAAAGCCCACTTTTTTTGAGCATAGCAGTGTTTCGTGCTCTAAAACTCACAAAACACTGTAATGCTCAAAAAAATCCATTTTTCCAAGCCTTGAAACGCACGAAACACTGCTATGCTCAAAAAAATCCAAACTTTTAAGGAATCTGCCCCCGGCCTGGCCATAGATGCCAGAATTTTGGAATTGTTGGCATTTTTTGAGCATTACAGTGTTTTGTGAGTTTCAGGGTTGGAAATTTTGGAATTTTGTGAGCATAGCAGTGTTTCGTGGTTTGAAACTCACAAAACAGTGTAATGCTCAACAAAAAATACACTTTTACAGCCGCCAAGCTCACGAAACACTGCTATGCTCAAAAAATTCCAAACTTTTAAGGAATTTGCCCCCGCCCTGGCCATAGATGCCAGAATTTTGGAATTTTTGGAATTTTTTGAGCATTACAGTGTTTTGTGAGTTTCAGGGTTGGGAATTTTGGAATTTTTTGAGCATTGTAGTGTTTTCTGATGTCCAGGACTGGATAATTGGGTGCTTTCAACCGTTGTCAAGGACTGGAAGTAATGTTTTATGTGCCTTCTGGAACAGCAACGGTTTTCATTACTCTTGTTTCATAAGTATGAACAGCCCTGCTTCATGTTTGGAACGTTGCAAGAGCTCTCTTACTTTGCTGCAGACGAGCCTTCTTGTGCGCCCGCCTTTGCACATGAACCTTTCAACTCCAGGGGAGCTTTCCCATTTCTTATGAGGCAAAGAACAACTATTGGAGTATTGCTTCAAAAATAAACGCGCCCGTATATTCGACTTCCTTCATGTATAATGGACAGGACATGAAAGGAGCTCTTTGTATTTCGTAACTCATAATCAAACGCTAGAGCGATTAGGTCGCATCAGAATCGGACGCTTCACGAGCAGCGGGAAAGAGATGGCCCACGCACGCAGACGTTTTCGTAAGAGAGACAATAGTATTTTTATTATTAGAGGAATGTTGTTAAATAGCACACCATAAAATGCAGAAAAGCACGAGGTTTTTTTTTACATGAACAAAACTAGCACGCCCTCCAGCATTTCAGCTTGTCCAACACATAAACTACCATAAATCCCCGGCCGAGATTCGGCTCCAGATTTTTACAGATATCAAACCCGCGACTTGTAGCAACAAGGCTTGGATGCACATGACGAAACGCACGATTTTATCGGTATTTACGGTGTTTTCTGCCTATATGAGTAGTGGATCAATGTAGAGAAACAAGCTGTGGAATAGCATGGAAGAGGCGGGTGTGGATCTTGGGGGGGGGGGGGGGGGTGACCATATGTATATATATATATATATACACACATACATATACATACATAAACATTTATATGCATTATACATCCATATGCTGCACATGGGCACTATAAGGGGATGTGATTACCCGTATGCAGTTGTTGAGCCGTCGTAGAGTAAACACCAAGCCTCTAGATGAGACGCGGAGCAGACATTGGAATCCCCTAAACTCTAAACCCTATAGATCCCTTCTAGGATCCCTGAAAGGAACCCTCGGTATTCCTTTTGCAAGGGCCCCCGCATCACTGAAGCCCGTTTCGGTCCGAAACAGTCCGGAACCCTCATGCTGAACCATTCCCTGTGAATTATTGAGCATGTTTGGGGTTGGTTAAGGGACTAGGGTTTAGGGCTTAATTAGGGTTTTGGGTTTTGGGTTTAGGGGTGTAGGGCTTAGGGGTTTAGGGTAGGGCTTGTAAGTTACAAGGCTTAGGATTTAGGGCTGAAGGTTGAGGCATTAGGATGGTATTGCGGGTTAGGGATCTGTAAGCTAGCTTGTGGGGTATGGCTGCTCAAAACCTAGACAGCCGTACTGCACCTGTCACTCTACTGTATAGGCTGCTGGACTCTTCGGGTAATATTGCGGCGAAATCATCAAACGCCACATCTCGATGAGCTTCGCACGACACGCATGACGAGGCGCCTAATACAGGGTTCTTTCAAAGGTGCCTGTAACGGTTCCTTAGAGGCTTCCTTGAAGGTTCTATATAGGGTTTCTCCGAGGGTTTAGTTTAATTCGAACCTGTGCCCGACCTAGAGTCTAGTTAAGACGGGATAAGACCGTAAACAAATGGTGCATTTATCTTACATTGGTTACTTTAGGTAAACCCTACCTTAGCCCTGAATAGCCTACCTTTTTAAGGCTCTTTATTATGATTTCTGTATATAAGTTCTTTTAAAGGTAGGTTCTTCCGGGTTAAGCTAAACCCTAAACAACCTGCTGGGGTCATCCTGAGGTGGCCACTCCACTTCCTGAGTGCACAGGGCGAGCTCAGGGGCTTCGACGTTTGAGGGTTTGACGTAGCGTTTAGGATGTAGGGCATAAGGTTAAGTAAGATTTAGAGGTTGGGCTTTGGGGTTTAAGGTTTAGGGATTTAGGGCTTGCGGTTTACGGGACACTCTCCTGCCTTTGAATTCTCAGTGGGCCTTGTGGGCATTGCAGGAGTGTTTATGATGGTTTGAGGAGGCAAGGTGGGGTTGGAGCATTGTTGCTAGGAAGTTGCAACTTCTGTTAATTAGGGGTTTCAAGCACACACCCTTAAACCCCCTTGTCTCCAAACCCGGAACGGAATCCCAACCTTGGCTTCGTTTGAGTCGGAGTCACCGAAAGCTCATGTCTCAAGTCTTAAAGCCCTGACGTGCGCCAATTCCAGCACCCCGGAAGTCCTCGACCCTACGACTCGAGAACTCCAGATTCTTACGCCTGGAGCCGGTTTGCGATGATAGAGCTAACCGGTTCAGGGGGAGGTCACCAGATCCTCCAAGGCCGATGTTACCATCATACACAGAAACAAACCCTAAGGGTTCATGTACTCATATAGCATATACATTGGCCTTGATGTAGTCCCTATATAGGTACATTGGGGCCCATGTATCTCTATATGGGCACATGGACCCTTAGGGAAATGCATCATACAGCCTGAATACCAAGGCACTAAGGAGAAACACATGCCGGCTAATGGCCCTCGCAAGGGTTGCAAATGGTGCGCCTATACCCAGCTACATGCCAAACGCGTCTTGCATAGAAACCGGGCACTGCTTGCAGAATCTGCGGTCCTGAACCCTAAACCCCAAAAACTCTAAACCATACTGCAAACCCAGAACCCCCAAACCTTAAAGCCTTAAACCCTAAGCGCTAACCCCTTAAACCCTAAAACCTAAAACCCTAAAGCCCCACTGTAAACCCAAAACCCTAAAAGCCTAAAACCTAACTTCTACGAGATGCAGCCGAAAGTCTTTGGCGGCCGGTGTGGCCGCTTGAGGATCGTGGCGTGAGCATTAAACCTGCTCATCAGTTTAGGGTTTCAGGGGTTTAGGGGTTCTTAAAGGGCTCCTTAAAGGGATCTATAGGGTTCCCTAAAGGGATCTATAGGGTTCCTTAAAGGATCTATAGGGTTCAGGGTTTGGGGTTGAGGGGTTTAGGGGTTGAGGGGTTTAGGAGTTTAGGGGTTTGAGGTTTTGGGGCTTTAGGGTTTATGGGTTTAGGGTTGAGGGATGTAGGGTTTAGGGTAACGCCAAACACTCAGCGGAATGGCTTCGGCTATACGGCTTCGGGGTTCGAGATAGTTACAGGTTTCGAAAAGCCCTCAACTGCGTGGCTATGTGGAGTCTGTAGAATTCTTCATGATGTAGACTTTTTTCCCGTTCCAGTGCACTCTACTCTTGTTCTTGGTGCTGCCACGGCTGCTGCTGCCGTCATCTACGTTGCGATTTTTCTGAGAGACTGGGCGAGTTCGGAGGCGACAGGATGCAGAGGTTGACGTTTCTGTGTCAGTTAAGACCTCTTCGTTGGCTTTGTGATGGCACCTAGCTGCCACGACGGAGTTCATGTTGCCACAGAACAAATCCAGTGCTGCAAATACGACAGTCGCTGCTTCAACTAATGCTCATTGGCGATAGCACTATAACGTGTAGTTGTAGGGGCAACTCCACCACGATCACAAAATGACAAACATAGCCACCCACAGCTGGAAAAGTCAACACGGTAGACGTCACCATCAACAATAACAGCAATCGCCGCCGTCACCAACTCGAGAATCACAACTCTGACCACCTGCTAACTATGCACGAGGATGCGGACGAGGAGGAGCTCTAAAGCCGGGCACTACTTCAACGTTTAGTTCAACTAGAGCATCAACATATACGTATGCATGTAGATGTTCTCGAAAAATTTATGTGTGTGTCTATATATATATATATACATATGTAAAAATATTTTTTTAAATGCGAGTATCACAAGTGTCTATGTACATACACATGTGTATATATATATATATATATGTGTGTGTGTGCGTGTGTGTGTGCGTGTGTGCGTGTTTATGTGTGTGTGTGTGTGCGCGTCTGTCTCTCTCTCTCTCTCTGTATGTGTATGTGTATGTGTAATGTATGCGTACGTGTACGTGTAGGTGTAGGTGTATGTGTATATGTGTACGTGTGTGTGTGTGTGTGTGTTTGAAAGGTGTCGGCATGCCAAAACATGTTATGGCCGTCTTTCCATCAGAAACACCATCGTATATAACCATTCCCACACAGACTCACACGGAGCTGATGAGCCAACCCTTCCTGAGGGGCAGACTTGTACTTGCCATCGGTGAGGTCAGCTGCTACCAAGCTCCTGGCGACAACAGGCGTGGGCTGCGCACACCAATCGATAATTCGTCAAGCTTCCGATCGGGGCAAGGCTTCCGGTTGCTGCAAGTATGACTGGAACGAGGCAACAATCGAAACCAGGCATCCAACAACCAATGTCGTCCCAGTTTTGGGAACTCGTAAAGAACCTTCATAGACTAGAACGACTAGAACCCAAGATAGGTCATGAGCACATACCTATAGTCTCCATTGTAGTTCCTTTTTTTTGGTTTAACCAATTTTATACTAAGGATCCTAAAAGGTAGCCCCAAAAAGGAACTACAATGGAGACTATAGGTAGTACTCATGCTGGGTGCCCGGACTTGTTCAGGCTGGCAGCCGCAGACCCCATCTCGGCCATGCTCGAGTCATCCGCCCTTCATTTCTATAAGATCTGCTGGGAGCAGCTTCGCAAAACTGGTTTAATGATCCTACCCTAAGGGTCCAAAGGACCCAATAATTAAGTCTTTAGGTTTCGGATGGTAGTTATGTAGGTTACTATTTGGTATATGGTTATTAGGTACTTGGACCCTTAGGGCTACAAGAGTCCATTGAAGTTTCATGCGGGTTTGGAGGGGTTTAGAACCCTCAAAGTTTCAACAGGTTTCGGCGGGGGTTCGGGGTCCATGAAGGTTCCCCCCCGGGTGGGCTTTGGGCTCTTAGGGTTTGGGCTAGGATCATGCCTCTGGTCTGAGGTGCCGGGTTTAGGGTTTAGGGGTTTAGAGGTTTAGGCTTTAGGGTTTAGGGGTCTAGGGGTTTAGGGGTTTAGGGTTTAGGGCTTTGGGGGTTTAGGGTTTAGGGGTTTAGGGGTTAGGGGTTTAGGGTTTAGGGGGATTCGCATCTCCATTCCGTTTCCTTGGACTTTGAGGACAGCTGTTTTGGTGTATCATTTAGAGGGTTGAAAACTTTCCTTAGCAAGCCAAGTCTTACCCATTGCTACCCATCTCGCGAAAGCAGGCTAAGGCTAAAGCATAAGCCCTGAAAACAAACCTCCGTCGCAAAAGCCATTGCAGGAACCCTTAATTAAAGTTCTTACCCTAAGGGTCCATGTACCCATATAGAGATACATGGGCTCCAATGTACTTATATAGGGACTACATTAAGGCCAATGTATATACTATATGAGTACATGGACCCTTAGTGTTACAGGCATCCACAAAAGAACACGTAAAGGAACGATCGCACTCACTGCATGCCCTCAGCGGCGAGCCTGATGAAAACCACGCGTTCGCCAAATGACCCAAGCCTCAAGCACTCTGTCCAGGGGCTCAATGCTGTCTATCTATCTCTCGATCGATCTATCATAGCCGTAGTAATAAGACAAATAACATAATAGCAGCCCTAAACGCTGCCGGAAAAGCAACACTAGCAACAAGATTGGCAATTGCGAAGTTGAAGAATACTCTGTCCTCTCTCTCTCTCTCTGTCCCTCTGTCTCTCTCTCTCTCTCTCTATCTCTCTCTCTCTCTCTATCTCTCTCTCTCTCTCTCTCTCTCTCTCTCTCTCTCTCTCTCTCTCTCTCTGTCTCTCTCTCTCTCTCTCTCTCTCTCTCTCTCTCTCTACATAAACATATACATATATATGTGTGTATATATATATATATTGTATATATATTCTATATATATATATATATATGTATATGTTTATGTGTATATATATATATATATATATAGATATATATATATATATAGAGAGAGAGAGAGGTAGAAAAACACCAAACAGCAAGCAGGGCTTTTTGAATGAATGGCAGGTTTTTCGCTGTGGCTTGGTTTGTGGCGAACCCTTGCCATAAAACACTAATCCCTAAACCCTCAATCTCTGAGCCCGAAACCATGAGACCCAACGGCGCTGAAGTCCTCAGATCTACTTCTTTGAAAAAAACTCGATAAATCAAACATCAACGCTACAAACCCTTATACCAAAATCTTGAAACGGCCCTAAGGCCCAGTGTTAATGTTACCAACTAGTTGTTATAACTCTATGATACTGCATCATGTCATATCATTACCTTGTTATACTATATCCTACTATCTACTCCTACCTTGTAGTACTGTATTCTACTGTATCATCTTGCCCTAAGGGTCCATGTACACAAATAGGATATACTTTGGCCCCAATGTACCCATATAGGGATTACTTTAATGCCAATGTATATGCTATTTGGGTACATGGACCCTTATACCCTAAACCCTTATAGAACCCTTATGGATCCCTTAAAGGAACCCCTCATGGTACCCTTCCAGGAACCCTATTTGGGGGCCAATGTATGGTTATGTCACATGAAAAACATCCCTGTCACACATCAAGCGCGCGTCTCGGACGCCTGGCCCGATGAGATCGACAAGCAGCTCCCGACCTCGTTGGGATTCCTTGTTGGGTTTAGGGTTTAGGGTTTAGGGTCTCTTTAAGGGATCTGTTTTGGGTTTCTTTAAGGGATCTGTTTCGGGTTTCTTTAAGGGCTCTGAGCTCAGTGTCGGATCAAGGTCCATGTCAGGGTCCTTTGTCCTAACAGCAAGGAAATCATGAAGTCTGTGAGGGATTTACAAGGTTTTGTGAGGGAGGTATCTAGCTCTGACAAAGAAAAGTCTACTTCTTGGGCCCGGAGTGAGGTGTCGGAGCGGCGCAAGCACGGCGCTGCTCCTCAGCTTAACTAAAGGTTACGTTTGTTTTTGCAGAGAACTCATGCTCAGTTATTCGCAAGGAAGCTATCAGAATCTTAAACCCTGAGCCCCCAAAAGCCTGAAACCCAAACCTGAGCCTGCATGATGCGATGGTGTTCCTGAGCTCCCAAAATGAAGCATAAGTCTGCGGACTTGCCAAGGAAGGTTGGGTGGAATCCTCCACATTAGGGTTCTTGTACCCGAAGTATGCTCTGTATGATTTCTCCGTTTATAGGATTCTTTGGGCACCATTTCGGAGCCATCGTCGCAGAAGACATACCCATAGTCACCACTATTCAGGATCCATGTTTGGGTAAAGATATGAACGACCCTGCACCCTAAACCCGAAAACTCTCAGCCTAAACCTTCACGCGTGACGAATTTCTTCCCCCGGGTCCCGACAAAAGATCTGAGATTTTTCTGCTGGCGACAAGTACTCAAGCTCTGGACTTGAAGCCTACTGGTTGCTGCTTCATAATTACAAGTATCATTACTATGAGTCTTATCATTGTTATTATCATTACTGCTGTGGCTATTGTTATTTATTATTGCACTGCTGGTTTAGATGTTTAAAACCATGCACCTGGTTATTACCATTGTCTTTGCGATATGTGTTAATAATGTGATTCTCGAATTACGGCTGTTACGATCTTCATACAGTATCCCCGTCTAGATGCCAGTTCGATGTCGTGAGAACTTGAGAGTAGCCGCCCCATAACATCCACAAGCCTCAAGCATTACTTGGAGGTTTATGGGTAGTTATAGTTATAAGTAGGGTTCTAAGTCCCCTAATATGGGTTACAACTATAGTCATCCTACTTATGACCCTACGACTTATGACTACGCAACCCCTAAACCCTAAACCCCTGAACCCTAAACCCCTAAACCCTAAACCCCTAAACCCTAAACCCCTAAACCCCTAAACCCCTTTACCCCTTTACCCCTAAACCCGAAACTGCAGTTCGATCTCGAAGCCCCAAAGATGCTCAGTGGTCGGCGGCCGGAGAGCATAGGCCGGATTTGGTCGCTAAACCTATGAGGCTTCAGGGTTGTTCTAGGGTGTTGTTTTGGGGTTTAGGGTTGAGGGTTGTCTTGGGGTTTAGGGTTTACGGTTGCTTTTGGGATAGGGTTTAGGGTTGTCTTGGGGTTTAGGGTTTACGGTTGCTTTTGGGATAGGGTTTAGGGTTGTTTTGGGGTTTAGGGTTCAGGGTTTAGGGCGAAAGAACTGCGGGATTGCTTGAAGGCTTCTGTAAGGGTTCCGTATAGCTCTTCAGGGCCTTGCACAGTTTCTACTAGGGTTCTTTCAGGGCTGCTTTTAGGGCTTTGTAAGGGTCCTACTAGAGTTATTTCAGGACTTCCTTCAGGACTCTACCAGGCTACTAGTCCAGAAGTAGAAACGGAACGGACAAAAGGACAAGAAGTCCTGGAGCCTAAACCCGCTTCACCCCGAAACCGGCAATGCAAATCCGTGAAACCGCTACATTCACCCAAATCTTTGACTATACCATGAATCCAAAAGCTAAGTCCCCGCAAACACAAAACCGCATCGTCTAAACACCTAAACCTTAGCCTGCTGTCTCCACGCAAGAGCCCGCGGCTCAGGGGCTTTCGGGCGTATCTAAACTCCGAAGTAGGTAAACCACGTGGAAAACGATCACCCACCACCCAGAAAAGACTGGCGGGTTGAGGGTTTGAGGCTTCGTAGACAATAAACCCTAAACTCTAAACCCCAGTACCCAGAAAAAAGCTACTATTCAGGAGGGTTTAAGACCGCGCAGACAACACGCAACTCCAATCCGACTCAGCCAGGTGCCAGCTCGTCAAAACGTCCTTCGCAGAGTCGAGCCTCTCCTTGATATCTATATGTATGTATATAATGTACACATATTTCTATATCTATCTCTCTATATATATATATATATATATATATATATATATGTGTGTACATACACATGGAAATAAAAATATGTGCTATGTACATATATCTAAAAACTATGTGTATATATACATATATACATATATACGTATATACATATATATACATACACACGAACATATCATGTGAATCTAATGTGTGGATGTATAGAATGTGTATCTAAACATATATATATATATGTATATGTATATTCATGGTCACACAAATAAATAAATGTAAACATATAAAAAAATAAATAAATAAATAAATGTAAACATACAAATAAAAAATAAATAAATAAATATATATATATATATATATATATATATACACACGACTTGTTGTTTCGGGCTTTAGGACTTAGGGGTCTCAAGGTCTCGGAATAAGGGGCTGACAGATCAAGCATCTTCCTCACAAAGCTACAACCGAAGCTAGGACTGTAGCCATGCCAGGCCCCCACGTCCTCTGGTACATGAGTTGTAAAGCACATTTCGGATTGTGTCGTCGGGGTTTAGGCCTAAACCTGGAAGCTTCCGGACCCGCTTTCCGACAGCCTGAAGTCAAAAGTTTGAGCAACAATTCATTGCAACTGGTTTCAATGAACCCGAACCGATGGTACACAAAGGAGATCCTTGTCGTCGCTCACAGGAAAAGCAAGAAGGGCTTAGCGAATGAAAACCCCATCTTCGCTCTCTCCCATACCCTAAGGGTCCATGTACCCATATAGAGATACATGGGCCCCAATGTACCTATATAGGGACTACATTAAGGCCAATGTATATGCTATATGAGTACATGGACCCTTATACCCTAAACCCTTACCCCTTAAAGGAGCCCTTATGGTACTCTTAAAGGAACCCTATGGATACACTATATGAGCACATGGACCCTTAGGGATAGCTGACGTCAGTGCAGGGTCCCTTGGATTTCTGCTCTGAGGTTCTACTCAAGACCTGCAGTCCCAAAGGGTCCTATGTACTGTTCTGGGGGATACTTCCCCAAATCATAATAGTAATTCCTAACATAGAAACCCTACATTCTACTATATCGGTACTTTGGACCCTTTGGGAGTAAAGAAGGCCCTCGCAGTCGTTTGAGGTATGGGCCGGGTATGTAGGGTCTTAGTCTGCCCAAAGGTCTGTGCGAGCGGGCAAATGCTTGCAAACACCATGGGCACGGAGTATGCGTGTTTTGTTGTCTGATCACTAGTATGTTCATGTTTGGTATAGTTGTGAGCCGCTTCTCGTCCTTATGCTCTACATGCTCTGCACTTGGCTCTTCACAGCTTGGTTAGGACAACATGGCACTCCTAATATCCTGAACCCTAGAATCCATGTACCCATCAAGTATGTACTCAGACCATGAAGGGGCACGCAGATAGTCACTGCACGGCAAAAGCATATATGACAAGAGTACATGCTTTTGAGTAGCCTAAATCCAAAACCTGCTGGTCCCATAATTATTCCGTGTAGTACCCTTATATACTATGTGGGCACATGGACGGACTCGCAAGCATCCCAACCTCAAACGCAAGAACACCCAAGAGGATGCAGGACCTTCGTGGGAAGACTCATCACGGAAAGGCTGAAATGCAGCCTGCAAAACTTAATGCTGAGTTCATGTTGAGAAGTCTGGGTTGTGGGGTGTTGGGTCTTAGCTTTGGGGTTTAGAATGGTGCTGTAATTTCATAGCAATACAAGACATGGAGACTACACCTGTTGTACCTATGCGCGAGCTTGTTTGTTCGTTTCGCGTGAACCAAAAGCTGAGTTAGAATCTTGTGTCCACAGATTTCTGCATACATCGGTCTTTGTCTCTCTTTCTCTCCCTCTCTCTCTCTCTCTCTCTCTCTCTCTCTCTCTCTCTCTGTCTCTGAAAGAAGTAGGTGTTCACGGGCAGCTGATGACAACAACAACCTGAAACGAAAACCCGTCTAGAAACGTAGGGGACACTCATGCAACCCTTAACACCCCCAAAACCCGGCGAAGCAAACAGGGCCTCGAGGGCGGGTAGGCGCAAGAGCGGAAGCCCTGGGCCCACTCCTTCAGGGCTTAACTCCCAAAAGGGTCCTATGTACTGTTCTGGGGGATACTTCCCTAAGTCATAATAGTATTTCCTAACATAGAAACCCTACATTCTACTATATCGGTACATAGGACCGTTTGGGACTTAAGGAATTTGGAGCTTCTAGGGTTGGGGCCGGTGGGGTCCAGGGCTCCGGGGCTTTTGGGTTTTGGGATTGGGAGGGTTCATGAGTGGACGTTCTCAGTAGTTTAGGGCTTTGGTTCTTTAAGGTTTAGGGTGCGCTGCAAAGGCCAATTTGTGGATTTAGAGCTTGGCCGTTGGGGTTTGGGGCTTTGTTCAGGAGGATTTTGCGTTCCCTGAGACTCCAATACCCCTTAAATTCCTTAATCAAGAAATGTGCCGTACATCATACTAGGGATCCTACTATAATTTAAGGTATATTATTTAAAAGGGATAATTATTGAGTCTCTGGGTTCAGGGCTACAGATCTAGGGCTTTAGGCTTTAGGGGGTTTCGGGTTGTTACAGGGCTGTACAATTTAGGGCTTTAGGCTCTAGAGGGCCCTGGGGATTTGGGGACGGTGTAAGGTTTGGGGCGGTACTTGGAGGATCATGGGACTTAGTAAGTAAGGTTATAAGTACCATACTTGGGGTTATAAGTATAGTATAGCTAATAGTAACCCTTTTCACTAAGTCCCATGATCCTTTAAGTAGGGCTTCGGGCTTTAAGGTTCAGGGTTTAGTTTAGGGTTAAGTCGGTGAAGCGCTCTACGGGCAGTCTGAGTCCGATATCTACACGGGATGATATATGATGCAAGACAACGCTGCGAGATGATCCTCAACTGTCTCTCAAACAGCCCAAAAGCCTCTAGCTCCATCCCAAAGCCTTTCCAAAGCTGAGCCCTAAACCCTAAAACCCTGTAATGTAGGGACCTTCTTAGTTAGAATAAGGCTTGGGGGTATATTTTACGATAATTATCATAAGGAGCCCCATAATAGCATAGGCAATTTTTAAGGCCCTATAGTAAGCTCTAACTGCAGCATTGTTCGCGCCCCGGAGGTTCCTCCTCCGACAGATCCTCCGGCTTCGCGACAAGCTGCGACGTATTGAGGCTGATCTCCTGGAGTTCAGGGTTTATGGTATATAGGGTTTAGGGTAAAAGGTATAGAGTACCGGGTGTAGGGGAGACTGGGAGTGAAGCCGTCAGCTATGTCATGCAGACCCCCGCTGCATGAATCAAGGTATGGGGAACGAGTGATTGTACGTCTCAGAGACTGCTCTTCGTCAGAGGCCCGAATTGCTAGATTTTGACCATAGCATCCATCGTAGTTCCTCTTTGGGATAGCTAATATGAGCCACAAAAAGGAAGTGGTCTCAGGATACGTAGGGTTGATCGGAGTCCACACTCTCCACTGACTTCTCTACGAATTATTGGGGATCACTGCTCACAAGGGCAGAAACCAGAAAAATAATACATCACTTTCCACCAACCCCACATTGCCTAGACCCTAAAGCCTAAAAACATCAAACCCTAAAGCCGTCAAGCCTTAAAGCCGAATGTTCACGTTCCACCGTTCTTCAATTCTGCTCCAGGGCAGCTGGAAGCTATTGAGTCCAACCACCCCGGTGGAGGCCCTGCGAAGGACGACAGCCCAAAACCCCCTCAAACCCGAACCCATGCAATTCGGAATAGGGTTGAGGAAGTTTAGTGTTTCTGGATTAGGAGTTTAGAGCCTAGGGTTCAGGAGTGGCATCGTTTCTTAAGGTGAGGTTTAGGGGGCAGGGTATTAGCATAGGGGTGTTGGGTCCTGTGTTGGGCATTAATACCTGTCCAATGGGGGCAAGGCGAGCTCTTGTTGTGTCCATGCAACCAAGTAGCTGTCCCAGTGATCATAGTCACAATCTTGAACAGTAAATCCTGGAACCTAAACCCGACAGTAGAGAATCAAAACCCTACAGCAGATTCCGGTTGGGGGCAAGATATCCTTATCAACAAAAGCATTTAACATGGTCCCGTCTTTCAATTGGCGTGTAGAACAGCAACCCCGCATGTCTCTGCCAGAAAGGATACACTCAAATACTCCATAGTTAAAGAAAATATCTTATCTTATACCGTACGATTAAGCCCAACCAAGGTGTGTGTGTGTGTATATGTATATATGTATATATGTATATATGTATATATGTATATATGTATATATGTATATATGTATATATGTGTATATGTATGTATGTATATATGTATGTATATATATATATGTGTATATGTATATGTATATGTATATGTATATGTATATGTATTTGGACGAGAGGTGTCACGAGTGGGGTTTTTCGAACTCGAATCTTTGAGAGTTTGAACGTAGTACATGTTGGACGGGATTCGAGAGTTTGAAAGTTTGAAAAGTTTGGAGAATGAAGAGTTTGAAGTTTGAAAGTTTGAGAGTTTCGAGTTCGAAAGCGGGCGCGAGTTTGGAGTTTGAAAATTTGAAACCCAGGAAGTTTGAAAGTTTGAAGCTTCGAAGATTGAAAGTTCGAAAGTTTGAAAAGGAGAAGGACCGCTGGAGACGCGTAGGGGTTCACAGAGCAGCCCTCCGGCTCGAGTTCGAAAGTTTGAGAGCTTGGAGTTTGAAAGTTTGAAACCCAGGAAGTTTGAAAGTTTGAAAGTTCGAAAGCTTCGAAGATTGAAATTTCCAAAATTTCAAACTTCGGGGGGTTGCAGGTTTGAAGTTTTCAAATTTCGACAGTTGAAAGTTTGAGAGCCGTGGAGTTCGAAAGTTTGAGATGTTCAAAGTTTGAGAGTTTGGGAGTTTGAAGGTTTGTAAGTTTGAAGAGTTAACTGAATACATTGAAAGTTTGACTTTGAAACCATGTTGACGTCCTCATTTTAGGGTCTGGGCCCGGTAACTCCGAGTCCGATTCAATAGCCCGGGACCCCCCTGGGCGACAGGTAGTCCTGGATTTAGGAAGAGTATGAAGGGGGGGGTTGTAGTTCTGGATTTAGGAAGACCATGGGGGGGCGGGGGGGGGGGGGGCCGGGCTTGGAGTGTTCGGGGAACCCCACCGCTCTGTTTAGACTGCAAACGCCCCGCTCTGTTAAGCCGAGAAAAACTTAATGAAAGCGTCTCCCACTTCATACTTCACCAAAAACCAAGATTACGGGCCCCCCCAACCTCATACTTCGTCCAAATCCAAGACTTCGAGCCTCCCCCTTCCCCTTACAGTCTTCCTAAAACCAAGATGTTAAGCCCCCCTTTCTCCAACACAGGCAAAGGAGAAAGCAACACGAGAACACTTCAGGGGTTTAAACGCGAAGAATTAAAATTCATCATGAGTGATTAAGAAGCTGTGCAAATGGGGGTGCTCTCTTAAGATCCCCCTCCCCTGATACGTCGTCCAAATCTAAGACGTCAAGGCGTCCCCTTACAGTCTTCCTCAATCCATGACTTTAAGCCCCACCTTTCTCCAGCACACACAAAGGGGAAAGCAACACAAAAATGCTTCAGGGGGCTAAACGCAAAGAACAAAACTTAAGCATGAATGATTTGGAAGCTCTGAAAGGGGGGGGGGCTGCGCCCCCCCAACCCCCCAACTTGTTTTGGACTGCAAACTCCCTGCTCTGTTAAGCCGCGAAAAAAATAAAACGTAACCCCCTTCATACATCACCAAAAACCAGAGTACGAGCCCCGCCCCCTCATACTTCGTTCAAATCCAAGACTCGAGCCCCCCCAGTCTCCAACACACAAGGGAGAAAGCACACGAAAACGCTTCAGGTGGATTAGAAGCGAAGAAGACATCATGAATCATGAGTGATTTTGAACCTCTGCAGATGAGGGAGGGGGCTCTGCGCCCCCAACCCCCTGTGCCGATACACCCCCAAGGGATACTCCTTGTGAGGAGGTGTATGACCAGTTATTCCCTAAGGATCAAAAGGGCAGCGCCCTGCACACGGACAGTAGTTGTTTTGTCTTGCTACGCAAGGAGAGCTTGTCTTGTCTCAATATGGTAAAACCACTGTGAGCCAATGGGCAGCGGAATGTATATGTATGAGCATGCAGCCATTGCTGTAGGTACCTGTTAGAGCTACCCCTTTAGAGGTTTATGGTTTCAAACAGACACTTATTTTCTTTTACCGGAAGCATGGCCGCACATTCACACATATACTATTATGCCCACTGTCACAGTTGCGGAGTTTGGACTCATGATAAAACAGCATATTGTTTATGCTAGGTATAGCACTGAAGTACACTGTTGAGGTCACTCCTTTTGCACACACTCATGCATGTTGGTCAGAGAGATCATCTGTACAGGATCAAGTCTGGTAATGTTCTTCTACCGAATTATGCAGCCCTTCATTGTGCTCTTGTTAGAGCCCTGTGATTCACTGTTGTGAAACTCTGAGAATTTTCTTATCTCAGATTCGGATCCAGGTTTTGATCATAGGCTCGAGCATAGACGTTCGGATGTGGCTCATCCGGGTCTGAGTGATCTTCTTCGGAACTTGAAAAGATTCCGAGTAATCTGTTCTCAGCCCTGGTGAAGGCGGCGTCTGCAGTATCATATCCATGGTTGGATGTTGTCGCCTTTGGCTCGGCCTTTTGAGCAGCTTGTGAGCTGGCTGGAGTTGCCTTGGCTTTTGCCGGTTGCGGCTGCTTAGCCTTTGCCCGTTCAGCCCTTCTTCTTTCAAGCTGTCCGTCTGAGGACGCCCATGATCTTTCACTTTCATCTCCTGAAGGAGATAAGGCGTGGGCATAAAGGCTATTCCAGTACTGTGGTGCAGAGGGAGTTAGGACTTCTTCATTGTCAGATTCTGATTGGTCTTCCTCAGAGCTTTGGTCATCAAAAAGTGTCTCGAGGACATTTTTGAGATTGTTATTTCTTCGCTCTATCTCTAGTGAGGAATGGACCAATTGGTTAAAGACTGTCCTTGAGTCCTTCAGTGCTGTTAGAAGGATTTCCACTCTGGATAGAGTATCTTGGATGGTGTCAAGATGTTCCTTTCTTTCCTCCTTGTCTCTCTGGATAGAGCTTCGCAATGATTGTGCGATTCTGAGGAGGTCTGTGTATTTCGCAAGAGGCATAGTTACCGTTTGATTGTCATGTATGACAGTTGTTTCGTCGCCGCTTAAGTTCCTGAATAGGACTTCCACGACTGGTAGGAACTCCGTGCTCCCCGGTTCCTCTTCATCATATGTTTCTACGTGCTGTAGCACGCGTTGTGTAAACTGGCCGGCTGCTTCTACCGTTGCATCGATAGAGCTGACGTGTCTTGCTGCCATGTTTCGGCACGTAACGTTAATTGCCTGGCCTTGATTGGCTTCGTTCAGTGCAGCGTCTGCATAGGTGCAGAGTCCACTGTTGTGGGCTTCTCTGGCTGCCTTTCGTTGAATGCGCCGATTTTGACCTCCTCTTCTGGTAGGACCGTTTGGTCTCGGAGGATCTGAAGGTACTGTTCCTTTCGCCTTTGGCGGAGGACTCTTAGGTGGAGGTGACATGTTTGCCTTGTTAGGCCCTGGTGGCATTGCCTTGGGCGCTGATGACGATGCAGCACTTGAAAGTGCAGATGTACCCTTGGCTTTTGCCGAAGATCCCTTGGGGATCGATGTATAGGTAACCTGCATGGCGTCTTCGGCCATTTGTGCATGCAAGGCATCTTTGAATAATTGCGTCATATGAGGAGTGGTGCTTGCATCATCGTAGGTCTGGAAGCGCTCAATGTCTCTTTCGGTGCCACGTGGACGTGTATCACCTCTTTGAAAAGGATCGTTCCTGCGAATCTCCGCAACTTGTACTGCATGGAGGCAGTTTTTGCACAGCACCTTCCTGCACACATCTCTTGCTTGCTTGAGCTGGTAACAGCTGTCTGAGAGATGGTAGACTTCGCTTCGGGAAGTATGCCAGATAGGTCGCAGATCAGTTGTTTCTCCGGAATTGACCCTGTTGGGTCCTAAAGGTTCACGCGTCTGTGGTTCATCCTCGGGTTCGAGGAATGGAACTCTTTGGTTCGCTGCTGCTGTTGATTTTGGTTGTTGGCGCTCCATACATCTGATAGGAGGCCTGGTAATCTGCTTCCACATCCAGTGTAAGCCCATTAGCAGCAGAAACACATTCCACGCGATGCTG